AAAAATACTAAGAAGCTTATATTAATATATCAAATGATCCACTGTATTAAAAACATTAATTATTTTTTTTTCAAATGACCAGTGTTGTGAAGAATTTTAGTGAAGGCAAGTCAATAATTATATTTTAATTATTAAGTAATATGCTTCTGTGTATGAATAATTTTTAAGATTAATTACTAACAAAAGCAATTTAAGAAGCATTCTGTGAACAAATGTGTTGAAAGTACAGATTTGCAAAACTAATAATTTGAGAAGGCAGATAAAAAAAACAGCAGGACCAGGAAAGGATACTTTGAAGATTCTGGAATAAAAATAGGACCAGGATTGAGTAATTCCAATTTGGAGAGATACATTAATAGATATAATTTTTAAGAGGTTAGCAGTGCAATACCATATATGTTTACTCAGAATTAAGTCCCACTTTGTCAACTGAACGTTACTTCTAATATGAATGCTGCAGTTTGGAAAGTACAAAATAGATCTTGGATCTTCCTGAACTAAAACTCAGATATGAAAAGGTGATCTTGGGTAAGTCTTCCCATTCCTGCCTGCTCCAACAATAAGATTATAGGTCATATAATATTGTGATACTATTCCAATAATATAGATCAAAGGGGTTAGCACTAAGCTAGATAAAATGCTGAGCTCAGTACTATATTTTATTTTTTGTTTGGTCAAGCATAGTTCGACTTGACTACAACTGTCTATCCTTCAATTTTTAAAACATTAACATTATAATAAAATTTTATGTATCAGAGAAAGGGACAAATCTAAAATCCATACTGAACAACATCTACCAGTTCTCAATAAAATGCTATATTTCACTATCTTCCTTCTTTTTCCCATTATAAAACAAGACTAAACTAAAAAAAATAGTGGTTTTGTCAAACTGTTCAGATTTCACCATTGATATATTGATCCTTTAAAGAGTTAAATACAATGGAGGAGAAACAAAAACATCAACAGAATAGTAATTGTACAGTCATCAGGATCTTCCTTTAAATAAATGATCATTCATTTTCTATTGGCTTTAACTAAATGAGAAATATTAAAGCCTAAAGCACTGATCATTACATTTTAATCAAAACTATTAAAAACTAATCATTTTGTTGTACAGAAATATAACATCCATTTATATTTACTGTTTATTTTGCATGCGGCAAATGCAAAAATGAACAGCAAATTAACCCTGCCTTCGAATGGATCTCTCTTCACAGCTGAGCTGCTGTAATCTATTTTATGCCATGTAAACATTCTATGCTTCTCCTGAGTGCTTTGCTGGATTTGCTCAGTCTCCCCAAAGAAAACAAGAGTGATTTAATGTTGTTTTTTTTCAATATATTGGGGAAATAATTTAAGTATAAAAGGAGGACCATGTATCAGTGCAGCTAAATGGAATTTTAATGTTACCTAAACACAATGGCAGTGTTAAAAGTTAAAAAGGGAGAGATGAAGAACAGAAAATGACTGTCATTTAGGTATAATTTCTCTCCCTTCCTCCCTCTTTTTAAAGGTGTTTTACTATCAATTCATTGAATGATTTTCAAGGGATACAAGACTATGTTACAATACCAAGCAGACTTACTAGGAAGTAAGCTCCATTGAACTCAGTGGAACTTTCTTCTGAGTAAACATTCTTCAGATGGCACTACAATTCAATTACAAGGACATTTTATTCTATAAGAAAAGATTTGCAAGTAAACTGAGAATTCAGACCTGTTTGACTATAGCAGACTTAGCATTTCCAACTGGTACATGGTATTTTTTTAAAGCTATAATACTTCATAATGTATATAATCATGAACAAAAGCTTTTTCAAAACTGTTTTCACTGTGCTAAAGTAACAATCTAGACTTGTTGTAAGTATATTATTCTTACAAGTAGTTCGCAGTTATTCTTGAAGGCAAGTCTTGGAGTTTCCTTAGCATAGTGCTGCTGGGGAAAATTTTCAGCATGTCCATCTTCATCTCTAGCCTGAAGGGAAATATAATGGCCTATTTAGGGACTTAGAAATAATGGAAGAAAAAGAATAAGCTAAATGCATAACAGCTCAGATCATTAAACAAACGGGAATTTAAAATACAACAGTAGTAAAAAAAATTCTTATATATGCAGTATTAGAACTTTTGAGTGCTCATTACACCATTAAAAACATGCAAATAGATTTTGGTGTAAGAGTTAAAGATTAGCAAAGAAACAAGCCCCAAAATCAAGTATTTCAGCTCTGTTCTGAGTGCACAGTATTACTCATGTCTATTCAGATGTAAGTCACGATGAGATGAATGGGACTTACTTCCCAATATATGTAGGATTAGAAAACTTAAAATTTTCAGTTTATTCCCTTTCTTTTTGGTATTTCAAGGATTATATTACATATAATCTATAGGTATTTCACCCTTTGGAAATGTTCAACCAATAACATATTTCCAGATTAAACATTTTAAGAAACAAGGTCTTATTTTCTGCTTTTTTCTGATAGTCATTGTATTGCATGGATTTCCTCTCTTTTTATGTAAAAGAATTGGAATCAAGTTGTCATTAAGTGAGGGCAATCAAATATGTTAAAATATTTAAGAATATAAACTGAAAGTTATGGGTTGTTTTGATCTAAACAGCTCATTAACGAAGCTGAAGTGTAAATGGATAAATTAATGCAATTCCATTAGCAACTCTGCTGCTTGCTTGCAGCAATTTCTTCTAATCTGCAGCATATTCTGGTTTAGAGTTAAAGTAAAAAGAGAGAGGTAGGAGAAAGGAGGAGTGTCAGCTGCATGCTCATTACACCGTTCATTTGGATGACACTTGCACTCTGTTCCACTCTCATCTCATCTAATCTCTGACTGTTCACTCTCCCTTTCTCCTGGTCTCCTGAAATTCACAGCTGAGCTGTCTCCCTCACATATGGCTTGCATATAATTATGCATATTCACATTTTACACTGCATTAAAATGATGAGCTTCTGGCTTCAGGCCAGCTTATTTAAATAAGACCCAGTGAACTTGGAAAAGGAAGGAAGGAAGGAAGGAAGGAAGGAAGGAAGGAAGGAAGGAAGGAAGCAAGGAAGCAAGGAAGGAAGGAAGGGAGAAGAGATAGGTAGGTAAGCCATATGGCAAGGAGCAGGTAGTTCTGTCTCTTTAGGAAAGAAAGAAAGAAAGAAAGAAAGAAAGAAAGAAAGAAAGAAAGAAAGAAAGAAAGAAAGAAAGAAAGAAAGAAAGAAAGA